TGATTTACAAATGTTAAAAAATGACAACAACAACATTATCTCTGACCCAAAACATGTTCTGAACAGTGAATATGAACTGCTACAGGGTCCCACGATTCAATAAAGTCAGACTGAAGCACTCCTTCGTGCATCAGTAAATCCTCACAGTAAATACAGAGCTAAATCCCAGATCAAATGCACGCTGATGGTTCTTTGAGCAGCTTTTCTCTCACTGATTGTGCTGTTATGTTAAATGTTTGTTGTTTGTGTTTCATGTATTGTGTTTGGATACTTGTCTGTTGATGTTGGACATGGAGCTGCTGTGACGCAAGTCAAATTTCAGAGTTGATCTGACAAATAAAGTAATATCGTATTGTATCGTAAAAACCGACCGTCGGGGTAGCATTTGCTTGGCATTTCCGGTTATTTCTCCACTGTTTAACATGGGTTAACAATACCGTGTAACTGTCACGTTTGAAGGGAAGAAATGGTGACATCTTCACGTCTCCCAGCATGGTAAATCGTCACATGTTCACGTCTTGCCGTGATATCGGGTTGTGCAAAACACACAATAGCCAGCATGTGTAGTTCTGGGGACGGGGTGGGGGAGGGTGGGGGGCGGGGTGGACCCGTTCAAATCCAGTTTTGGACAGTCTGCCGTGGTTCCATCCCATTTCAAAGTGTTGTTCGACGCTCGGCGTAACCCTCGGCGCACACTCAAACATCCAATCACAGAGCTTGAGGACTATCACGGGGTTTGTCAAGCGAAGCGGAGAGAATACTTACTTCCGGGTGTAAAAATTCTCTAAAGCAACCTGACGGACTCCAACTTGTGTTTATTAATCAAACAAATAAATAAACACAAGGATAATTATGTGTTATTGTTGAGTAAATAACAGTGTGTGGTTTAGAAAAGAATACAAAATTAGAAGGAAAAACGATGAAACAATACAGATTTCAGTATTCTGAGCCCCTACTCTCCCCATAACAAAAGTCCTAAATTATTCAATTAAAAATAAAGAAGTAAAAACAATAAGTGTGGCTTGACATTGAGTAAGAAAAAGGTTGATAAACGCTGTGAGAATGGATCTGCGGAGAGCATTTTGCCGAGATCCCAACTCCTCTATTACCAACGTTCAGGGAGGTCTATGAAGTTCTATGGGACGCCCTGCCCGTTGAAAACTGGCTTCCAAGGGGTACCCTGTACGTAATAGAGTGACGGGGAGGGGCCCTGACCATCCGTCAATATGTGACGGGTTGGGAGTGACAACGTGTTGGAATGAGGTATCAGTCCGACAGGAGAGAGAATTGCTTAATGTCTTTCATTTATGTAAAGCACTTTTAATTGCCTTGTGTTGAAAGATGCTATATAAATAAACTTGCCTTGCCTAACCTATAAACTACTATCAATTTGAACTGTAAAACACCAACATGAATACTTATCTGATAAAGTTAACTATATAAGAGAGGTGGGACTTCAAACAAAAAAAGCAAAAAGCAAATTAACAGTTTTCTCATCAAAAATGTGACACCAACTTTATTAGACCAGCAGACAGTGAATTTGACACTTGCTTTTTGTGAGAACATAATATAATACATTCCACCAATCAAAATTGTCCTTTGTCCCATAAACAGTCAGAGCACACAGTGCACGTCTCACCCTCATACAGCAATTTTCCTAAAAATGTTTCAAAACTAAAAGTTTGTTGTTGTAGACATAGCCTGCTGTGCAAACTGAGTAACCAAATGTGCATGTAACATAAAGTAGGAGCCAAGGTTAGGATTCACATTCTTATCATCAATTCTAGTTCATTTAAAATGACCCTGAGCAATAATCAGTGTAAACATTTCTACATTCGCCGCAAGCTAATACAACAGAGTAAAGAAAATGATTTGACATCCATTCTTAGTAAAAATGTAGATGGGAGTTCATTTCCTTATAGGCATGCTGGTGTTCAGGTCCAAATATTGTATGTCGCTGTGCATATACAAGGCATAAACATGACACCAAGATTTGTAACATTGCGTTATTTTTTTCTTTTATGGGGTATTATAGAGAGTCTAATATAAATATACTTCAGTAGTTTTATACTGTATTGGAGGAGTGCATTCAGTTGCTCCAGCAGTAGATATGTAGAGAGGCTGTTCTTCATATAGTGAGGGCAAGCTGCCAGGCTAAGGAAAGGAAAGAGCGCAGCAGAGGTCATTCTGAGCCAGACTCTGGATCAGTCTGCACCACTCCACCCTCTTCTGAGTGATGTAGGCCGGGGTGATGATTTGCACAGGAAGGTATGGCGAGGCCTCCACCCTCGCCTTTTCACACAAGGCCTCTGCTATACAGATAACGTACATGCCGCAGTCATAGCTGTTCTTCTGGGATGGGCAGGGCTCCTCCACAAACTGCGCTTTTCTCCCCGCACCCAAGAAAGGCTCTAGATTGCGGGCGATACGCTGTGCGTGTGTTGAATTGCTGCCGTTTTGAGAGTCATAATGTGCAAAGTGGTTGGAGTTGTGGTGGTAGACAAGGAGACTCCAGTGGGATCCTCCGGCGGTCTGGTTGGAGTTGTCGTTAACGGCCAGAAAGACCCAATGACGAGAAGCAAGATTTAGCGGCTCCAGAAATATTGCTAACTCATTGGGGCAGGAAGCACACTTTATGTACTGGGTGACCTCCGGGCTGATGAAGGTGATGCTCTCTCCCAGGACTCTGAAGCGCTCAGCAGCAAAGTATTCAAAGGCAAAACCAATGACTTGGTCATTGAGCCAGTAAGGTCCTTCCAGCAGCGACACATCAGAGCGTCTCAACAGGCTGTCCTGGTAGCTCACCACCACAGGGTCCATCCCCCAGTCAAGAGTGCCCGTCTGCAAATACACAAGATTTACAGTGCTGAATGTTTAGCTGATATAGTTATATATATATAGAAGTTGTGCAAAATAAACACATCACTTATCTGTTTAAATTGTATTATTATCTGTTTTCATTTGTTATTTGTCTTTCCAAAACATGTTATGAGTTAATACAAAACAATTACTAAACAAAAAGACTCCACTGTCTCTTACAATTGCAGTTTAATCTTTACATCTGGTGTATTTTTCTCAAATAAAAAAAGGTTTGTGAAATCATCCTGAAAATGATGATGTAAACCCAATTATTACAAATTCATTTATTGGTTGATTACTAACTTGCGTCACAGGGATAAGATGTGTGGCTGGGTTAAGACCGTACAATGTAAATACCACCTTATAAACCCTTAACCTGTGATGTCTGGAGTTAAAGGGAACATTTTATTTGGGTTCGTTTACGGTTTGTTGTTGTTGGCCGTTAACGTTACTCACTGAGACACGTCAAATGGTTCATCATCTTATTAAGAAATCGCGTTATTACCTAGAATTTACAATAGCGTATGATTGGATATAAACCTCGAAATACTGTAACAGGCTGCCAGTGACCGGTGATGCGACTGCGGAGAGTATCACATTACTGCAGTGCGTTTAATTTGACCAGACAGCTCCCTGATGATGAACCATTAGCATGAGCTAGTTAGCTAACCGTCCCTTCTCCCATCACACGAAGCGAAACAACTCCGCTAAACGTTCATTTTATCCTGTACAACTTGAACAGTGTCCTGTAAAACTAACATATATGAACTTAATTAAATGTCCATACCTGTAAAAGACACACTCAAATAAAAAGTAGCAGGAAATCTGCTGTCTCGCACCTCATTGCATCGGCTAACGTAAAGCACTACAGGAAGAACTTTAACTTTTGCGACAGGGTGTCGAGCAGTACACTCGCTGGAATGATACCAGCTGCTTCGTTACCTCCTGTCATTTAAAAGTTATCTTTGCTTACAGTTTACAGTTATATGATACAAAATACACCAACACATGTACAACATACCACACCTACCGTCACCAGAAATAATAAATGCACTCAAAATACATGCTAAAATGTGTTTAAACCATCATTTAAAATCAAGTGGTGCAGTGTGTGTACCTCGCTACCGAGTTATTTAGTGCCTACTTCCTTCCTGTTGTTTCACCACGTCCGTGGAACGACAACTTTCTTTTTATAAATAGAAACTACAAACTTCCAGTAAAAATACAAGCAACATATTACATTCACTTATAAACAAAAGGAGGGGACACAGAATTTTTACCCATAATGATTCTGTATACATTTTAGTGATAGTAGCCTAAATTATGAAACAGATCCTTAATTCTTTATTTTCCCCCAAATCTAGCCTATAAAGAATGTTCAAAGAATAAAAACTGTTTTGATTTTGCTAAGCCATCTGTTCCACCTGAATGTTAAAAATATATACCAATAATCACATTTTCCCATTATAATTACAAATCTTCTTTAGACACAAAACTTTAGAACACATGTTTTTTTCTCATGCCATGTGTCAACATTTATTTTTTGCTGATATTAACATTGTATATGAATTTCGAACTTTTGACTATTTTCTTTAAAAGAAAAAGTATGATTTAAACTTGTCTATTTCTGAGAAATAATAAGTCCTTGTATGGTGTAAAAATAAAAATATCAAGAAAGATTTTGGGTGAACAACCCACTTGTTTTTTTTTACTTTTGTTCTTTGTTGTTCTTATATAGCCTATGCCTGGTGATTCCATAAATAATTCCACATATTCGCTAATGGATTTCTTCAGTTTTTCGCTAAGGTTTATTGATAAATGATACTCTTTAATATGTTTTTAATTCAACATTAAAAAGGCTGCACTCCATTCATGACAAGTATAAACTTCTTCACACTTAAAGTTGAGAGTTTAGAAAACGGATTAGTCACATATTTTCCAATAATTGTGTTTTTACATAAAAGTTTTCCGGTTATTATGACGAACAGGGAAGCTGCAATTCCCCCATGTGGCCACTACGTTCAAATCCCCTCAGCCCCGGTAAACTGTTTGACTCCGGTCCCGGGGGAACGGCTCCGTCCTCCCCATAGAGGTCCTCCCTCTACTTTTTAACCCCGCCCAGGAGCAGCGTGACCGCGCACTACCGCGCGCCCCCGGAGCGGCCGCACTGATTAGCAAAGCAAAGTGTAGTTTCCAGAGCCCGTCAGCGAGATGCGAAGGACTGCGTTTTAATTACACTTTACAACAGCGGACACGCACGGATAAAATAGCGCAAGTATTCGGAGTGGAGGTACATTTCGAGGAGTTGTTCGGAGGCGAGCGGCGGGAGGGAGAAGGATACACATTAATTCAGTGGGAATGCGGGGAATTAAATAGATACTTAGGTATTTTGTGGCTACAAGTGTGTGTGGCTCTGCAACCCATCCTGAGAGCAGACGGAAAGCTTTAGTCCCACTTACGACTGACTTCAGCGTTCACGTCTGGAGGTAAGAGTGTGATGTTTAGTAGTTATCGGACACTGGTGTGTGTGTGTGTGTGTGTGTGTGTGTGTGTGTGTG